TGGAGTTTTCAAAAATAAAAAAATCGAACCAGACCTATGACCAATTGACTGGCGCGCTCCATGCCTTAAAGTCACATCCCTAGATAACTTACAATTCGATAACGTCGCAAACAATCGGGGCGGTTTCAAGAGGGATGAAATGAGCGGCATTTCCACCATCACATGGTAGAGCAGCTAGAGGCGGCTTTGTCCTCCCCCCCCCCCTTCCTACTCCTGAAACCGCCCCAAGTGATTTTGACCTTATCAACTGTATTCTAGCGATCCATAGATTCTAGCGCTGTGAAATGGCGCTCTATCGGAAGTTTCTAGTCCCAGTAGTCATTGAACTTCAAAACTACTAGTGATTCCTGGTAGGCCCGGAAGATGCAGTCATCACAACTAGGTCAAGTGGCATGTACAAACCATAGAGTATTTCCGAGCCAGTTGACTCGACACCCTGCAGAACACTAGGTCGAAACAAATAGGATTTGATGCAAATGCAGCTCCCGTAACCCTTTCTGTAGCACCTCTTTCGCCGCTCTCGCAGCATAGGTTGAATTCTGCTCGTCTTTTTTTGTAGCGGACCGTTTTCGTTACTCTTCTACGGACCAGAGGTTATGGTTGCTCGAGGAGTTTTAGGCCGCTCTCATGGGCCATTCCTGCATGTAACGTTTTGCCATCGCATGCGGTATGGATATTTACTTTGTGGCTCGTTGAGAAGCTTGGACCACGCATTTTGTTGCTGGGATTCGCCAGCGGAGGTCGTATTTGGTCAAGAGAAGGGGATTGCTCCCGGTTTAGGAAACTTTTTCTGATTGTGGACTCTTCCCATTCCACGAGAAAAATACTCCTTTTGTCGGCAGCGGTTGTGGAATAGTTGTACCTTCGAAGAGAATGGTGGGGCGGGGTCTTGTTTAGCGAAATTTCTCCCTCGCCACTACGTGTTCTGAGGAGGACGTACTCAGCAACAGGCAGCAAACTGTGATGGGTCTCATCCGTACAGAGTGAAGCTCGACCGAATTTCCGGCAATGTTGGGAGTCAATCAAACCTAAATCCACTAATCGGCTGCTTTGAATAATCAGTGCTCGTACTTTCTGCACACAACGAACCCCATTTCGTGCCCCACACCCCCCCCCCCCCCCACCAGATAACACCGCCCCTTTTTATCGCGACACAATTTATATTCACATTAAACACATTTTACACTATATGTATAGATGTTATGCTAGTTTTTTTTTCAGGATTCTTCCGCGAAGCGGCTTTTTTTGCTGTTATAAGTAATTGTGATATATTAAGAAATCTCCGGATGAGATCCGAAACATATGCCTGATTGCCCATGTGGACCATGGCAAAACATGCTTTGCCGACTCTCTCGTCTCAACGAATGCGATTATTTCTGGTGAGTGAGTCAAGTTAGACTTGTTGCTAGGGTCTTATTGAGGCACTGTATTCTGCAGCTCGGATGGCTGGAAAATTGCGATTTCTCGACAATCGGGAAGATGAGCAGACTCGTGGAATCACCATGAAGGCCAGTGGCATTTCATTATTATACGGACCAATGCTAGTGAATCTGATGGATAGCCCTGGTTTGTTGCAATACCACAGTTTGTTCCAATAATTTCTGTTCAGATGCCCTTTTTAGGTCATATTGACTTTTCGTCAGAAGTAACCTCTGCATTACTATTGTCCGATATAGCTTTACTACTCGTTGATGTGGTACGTTTGGCGTCTTGTGGCTTTCCGCTACTTTGGAGGTTATGCTAGGCTGCGTTCATACTTTGCGTCTGCGTTTTGAGCGTACGTCAGCGTTTGCATCGACTGCCCACGAAGAGTTCGAAAAATTTACCCCTGCTTTGCGATCGAATGATGACGCGAAGTATGAACGCACTCTTACCGCTAATCTTAGGTCGAAGGTGTGTGCTCACAAACGGAAGTTCTACTGCGGCAGGCGATTACACATGGGCAAACTGTTATCCTTGTTGTTAATAAAATGGATAGGTTGGTGGCACACAATACATTTCAACAAGTAAAACCGTGAAGTAATCGCAATTACTTAGGTTGCGTGTTGAATTGAAGATGAATGCGACTGAAGCTTATACTCATATTGTTCGCTTACTTGAAGCTGTAAATAGTTGTGTCAGTCAGGTTGGTGTCGATTAAGCTATGAATATCTGACATTTTTACCTTTCATTGCCCTTCTATTCTAGATTTGTGCCATAATCGGATGGATATTTCGCGCAGTTCGGCTTGGTGGGGCACCACATGGCACATAGCGCAGCTAGTCCAGGTCACTTGTGAGGACTTGTACACGGTGTACTCATAGTCATAATGATCCAGTTATACCATTTCGTCGCCTCACAGGGGCTTACGGTCTCACCAAAGTGTAACCTGTAAATTTACTAGTAAAAGAAACTAGCAATTGTGCAAAATGCTCCTCCCAAGTTGAACAGCGCCGACAAATCTCTTTGGGCTTTTCCCAAACTCGAACTTCTCTCTAGGCTTTTCCCAAACTTTGTCTCCGGGTTGTCTTCGGAGATATTTTTCAACTCCTGTATACGATAATGGTGCCAACTTGAAGCGACGTACCTAACCTTTTACAGGCGCCGGCGCCACGAACAACTCGTGGCGCCGGTGCTCCTAGCGCGCATATCAGGGGTTTCCACGTCAAGCCAATATGATGATACTCGTGCTCATATGGTCAAACTACTCTTTGGGGACAGTGTTCACCACGTTTCAGTGTTCTGAGTTTTTTGGTTATCAGCGTCTATGGCGCGGGTATCGAGCGGTTTAGAGCTACAGCAGCGTTCAGACTTCCGCGATGACGCGCGTAGACGCGCCGCAACGCGCTATGATTGGACAAACGGCGCGCTAGACGCCGCAGATGCAGACGGGAATCGATTGGCACCGCCCGCCTATGTATTGAGAGTGTATGGAGAAACATTGCCAAAATCCTGCAGTATGGTAATGACCAGTACTGGCCACTAGGGCCGCGATCGATTCCCGTCTGCGGCTGCGTTACATATTATTGGAGTGCTGTTACAAATGTAGCGCGTCGACACGCTTTAAAGCGCCTTATAGCGCGTCGACGCGCGGAATCGCGGAGTCTGAACGGTGCCTAAGTGGCTCTCATATTCGCTTCCTAGGATCAAGCTAGCCGGCGCCGATACCTGGCATCCCTTCCCCCGTAGCAAATTTTTGATCAAAATTTGATTTTCAAGCCGTTGAATGCACGTAGCATCGAACTTCTTTTCACCGCTCTTTCCATCCTCCTCTTTATTCAGTGAAACTCTTTGTCCCCATCACTGCTTTCTACTTTCGCCTTTTTTCACCCTTTACCTTATTATCCGAGCTTTTACATGAACCTTGAAGTAATCATGTTGAAGAGCTTTTGGAAGGCGGTATCTCCAGTTGAATCTTTGGCCGCTAACACATCTTGAATTTTTTTGGCTCTTTTATGTCACGCTATCATGCGTGGGCTGAAACTGAGGGTTTCAGTCACGCGACGTTTTATGGGTTAGAACTGGGTCATATCCTCGGAATTTCTCGAACCAATAATACCTCAGTGAGTGCGAATTGCGTGCTAGTCCAATATCGGTGTGCAGTCTGAAGAAACAATGTTAACGTGTGAGGGATTCCACAACCTCGCATGTAGTCTCATGACAAGTAATTAACGTGAGACTAGGAAAAAAAGCTGTGGTGTGGGTGACAAGGCACGCCATCGCGCTGTGATCATTTCCTGAAAATACGACCCCCTCCTGCTACCTACCACTTTCCTAGATTTTCCCAACTTCCTACCACTTTTTCCATTTTTCCCCGAAAAATTTCCAGTTTTTCAGCCAAGAATTTTCCGTCGAGGGGGGTCGTCAGGATTTAACTATCATTTTCAACTATCAACTATCGGAAATAGTAGTTGCATAGATCTTTGGCAGTCCCTCTCCCAACAACAACCAAATACGACCCCTCCCCCTTTATAGCGTCCGTGAAACAAGAGAAATCAACTATCAAAAAATTTTTCTCAGACCAAATACGACCTCCCCCCGTTATGATCATCACAACGATGGCGTGCCCTGGTGGGTGAACCATTTTTCATGACATGGCATGATGTCCTAAAGTGGACTGCGGATGGGGTGTGTGACAAGACAATCGGAGTTTGCCATACTAGTGGGCGTCGCGTGCGACGTCGCTCTCGCAAATGATGATGATGGGGACCGTAGACAATTTATAGCTAAAAGTAGCCATAAATATTTACGATGTCATTGTCTACATAAAATACGGTGCTCCGATCGACAGGCCAACGCAAATTAAAGAAATGGTGCGTTCAGGCCGCGAATAAGACCTCTTTCTCGGGATTGTTCACCATGGCGCTGTTCGGCGACGGGGAGCATTTTGAACTATCGCTACTTCCCATCGACGTGTCGACCCATCTAGACAGCCTCTTCTCGAGTTGACAGGTTTTACCATGATGGCTTGACGAGCTTGCTCCAGCTTCACAAGAGTTCACAGGTTTCACCAGAGTGAGACTTGTAAACCGGAACTAGTGAAGCAATGAAAGTGCAAAATGCCCCTCCTCCCCAGTCGCCGGACTATGCCGTTCTACATAGCTGGCCAGCGAAGTGATCTGGGTGAACCGTGGCGAAAAGAACGCAGCTATTGAAGGTTGTTCATATGCAAACAACGAGGGATTGGCGCACTATGATGACGTTGTAATGACCTGGTTTATGATGAGCAGTCAGCCCGTTGAAGTTCAAAAATCGTGCGTAAATAGGGCTCACTAATCTTCTTTTTCTGAAAACTCGAAAGACGCGGGGAGACCGTCAATGTGGTCGCGATTACTGTGTACTAGAATTAGCGTACATAATCGTTGTGCAAATCTCGTCAAAGTGGGGGAAAGGTCGTATTTGGCCGCTGGGAGTCATTGTCCGCCATTCCACACATCTCGATGGTGCACTTCATACCCCAGGAATGGACTGGGCGTGGCCGCGCACTTCTTTTAAATGTGCGTTTCTTAGTGAGACCGGTCCATACGAGACTACTGCGATTTATCTAGTCTACTGGGCAGAAATGGTCACAGTTGTCTGAAACGGCAGTATCCCACTAGAAACACCTGTCACATTCAAATGAGTACGCTGCCACGCCCACTCTTTATCTCCGAAATATGGAATGCACCCTGACGAACGATACGACGTATTCTTTTGCAAAATTGACTTACCAACAGCAAGAGTAGTTGAGTAAACAGGGTACAGCATCTTTGTGTGAAACACGTGGGAGGAATCGTACTTTTCCGCTGGGAAGAGGAGGGGACGTACTCGGTCGTTGTTGAGAGAGGGGATCGTATGTGGCTTTCAGAGAAGTTTGCCGCGTGAAAAAATTTTCTCCTGGTTGTTGACCTTTCGTGATTTTTCCCGTTTCACATGTGCTATATACACCCCCCCCGCTCGACGAAAAATTTAAAATTTTTGGGTGAAAAACTGGGAAATCTGGGAATTTGGTAGGTAGATGCTGAGGGAAGGGGTCGTACCGAGACCTTTCCTCGAGGTGGGAGGGTCGCACTGACACCATCATTTCACACATCATGATGTTGTACCCTGTGAATAGAACGGCGCCATCAACTAGAGTGGGCTAAAAGGGGGGGGGGTATAAGACGTGTGGAAAGACCGTTGAAAATTTTCTCGCGCATGGAAAAAATCCGTAAGGGAGATATCACCTCCCTCCCCCACCTCCTCTCTCGAAGCGGCAGTAAATAAGGCCCCCGCATTGATCTTTAACCTAATATGGCCCTCTCCAATCCACCGACCAAATGCGATCCCCGCTGGGAATCCCCAAACCTACGGCATGCTCTGCTTCCTATATTCGCTTCTTGTCGAGCGCTACCTCTCACGGTCGCTTCCAATTTGACCTTGCTTCTTGTCTTTCAAAGCAGTGGGCACGATGGCGGGGGGGGGGATACTGCCAGCGTCATTCATTGCTGGAAGGCCTGCGTGGAGTATGGCCAAAAGCCTTCTCGCAGCCCTTCCACTAATGACGTGAGTAGCAACAGCCCTTCCCCAGCCATCGTGTCCACTGCCTTTAAGGTAGATTTTACCGTTGACTCTGACTTCTTACTGAATTGACTATCCTACAATTAACCGAAAAGCAGAAGAAAAGAGGGAATTTGCCATATATAGCGGGAGGTTGCCATATTGGCCCGAATTCAATCCCAGACCAAGACCGTTCAGCTCAGCGCCTCATTTCTCCCGAAATGGGCTATTTGGGATGAATTAGACGACGTGGTGCGATTCAAAAATGGACTGGGGGTACATAAGTGACTGCAATTATAATTTCAGGTAATTCAAGGTTTCATGCTTGAAAATGACTCAACAGATAATATTGAAGAAGTTGAAGCGGCTCTTTCCTTCGAACCAACGAAAGGTAGTTAGTAAAGAATTGTCTAGGACACTGATCAGGTACGTTCTAATTTCGTTCAGGTAACGTTATTTTCTCTTCGGCGATCCACTGCTATGCCTTCGGAGTGGAGGATTTTGCCGAGATGTATGCTGAAAAATTGAAAATTCCTAAACTGGAGCTGACAAATGCATTATTTGGAGATTTTTACATAGCTGGTGGGAAAATAAAGGTAAATGAAGGGTTTTAAAATTGATGCTATGGTGCAGAATTGTGGATTGAAGGTTCCCATTTTAGGACGATGCTGCTTCTCGTGGCAAGAAGCCCTTGTTTGTGCAGCTCGTGCTCGAACCGTTGTGGGCGCTCCACGATTGTGGCTTGGTCGATAACGATTTGCCCAAATTGGTTGAATTAATGGGTTAGTAATTACGTCTTCACTAAAGGTTTTTCAGAGAACTGATAGAATCGCTCAGCAGGAGACGGAGGTTATGAGGTCATGAGAGAAACTGGCCGCTGCCGACTACCTCTGCGCCTTGCTCCGCTGCGCTCATACTTCGTTACTCGGTTGGATTCGCGCGATTTGGGAATCACCCTCTTGCGACCAGGCTTGCTTTACCAGTAATCATTGGACCACTGCAAATGCTGATTCGATCACATTTAGGATAAAATTCCTTTCGACCGTTCAGGCGGTTCAACGGTGAAAGATGGATCGCTGTTGGTCGCATTCGAACGATACCAAAGGATGCGACTATCGCTTGTCGCGAAGTATGAACGCGGTCTTAGCGAAGGTGCCGGCACTTGTCATGACCCAGCGCGACTTCTAGGAGTTATCAATTCTAGGATGTTCCAAATGATCCCAAAAGAACGTTCTGGGATCTTTAGCTGGGTCTAATTCTGGTCCTCTTATGACACTTATAAGTGTTTCAACTCTCAACCATTTCTCGGCTTCGTATCAGGGATGAACTTTGCCATTCAGAATGTCAAGCCCTGAGATCAGCTTGGTCTACCGAGTGTGGGTGACTAGATCAGGGTGTGTTTTTACTTTAAGGATATAGAGTACTCGTGATATGAGTGAATGTGCGATCGGTTCGCTAGTTGACGGCGTCTAGTAGTCGATTCAGACGCTGCAATTGTGCTGCCTGATGGCGCTGAGATCGCAAAGATGGGATTTCGTCCTGGATCGTCGAACCCCATGCGGCCCTGGAACGTGGACTGATGTGGGCCCCGCTTGATTGTGCGGCTTATCTATTAGTATATCTGTACACTGTTTATCTGTTAGTGATTTGACGAAGAGATCCCCACAACTCGCTCTCTGAACGGACATTCAAGGAGAGCCTCGTTCGTGCCGATGAAGGTGCGTGTCAAGCGAGATGGCTTCAGCCACAGCACCAAGCCCGTCTAGACCCATTACTGAAGTGAGCGAACGACGACTGTATCGTATCGGTCATATAGTCGTTTTCCACCAACTGTTGTCGCTTACCCTTTCAACAACTGGTGTAAAACGGCTCGCGGCGCGTCGGACCAATCCTGCCTGACAGCCCCCTCCCTTCGTTCGCAGCGAACGAGACTGCACTTATACGAATCTGGATTGACGTAGCATTCGATGGGACCCGATCGTCACCTGCCACCTCAGTTTTAATGTCTCGAAACTATTGCTCATATTTTATTGAAAACATGGGTAATAGCTTAATACTCCTGGACGGAGTACATCGCCCTCGAGGGTTTGCAATATTGGTCGATTCAAACAACGGCAAAGGACCAGAGTAAGCGGATTCGATACCTCCATCCCTTCCTGGCCCATGGTTCATGCGCCAGGCGTGCGACAGTGATGACCTGACGTATCGAGAGTCGTGACCGCCTCTCGAATCAGAAATCAATCCAACTCTTTGTCTTTTGAACGGCCAGTTGGCACGATAAATCCTCCAAGACGAGCAGGACTAATACGCCTGGCAGGACGGAATTCCGCGACCCTGAGCAGGCGCTGCATAATGCCTTTTCCAGGGAAAGCCTTATAAGGCGCTATCAAGCCACAACTTTACGTCCCAAACGCCCCCTTGCCCGCCCGCCCACAAATGGACGACTGTTCCAGACGCTCTAATTGATTCATTTGCTAAGCAAATTATGAAGCGAAGGGATTGGTATGAAGCGGCCGTGATGCTGCATGGATATATGAGTACACATATGCAGCCGTACCTTCGGTAGCGGTTATTGGTAAGATGCCTTCGGGAAACTCGTCCAAAATTGATTACTAACACAGTGAGAACGGAGGCTCTTTTTTCGCAGGATTTTGACCGTTTCACTCCGTTCTTTCGCCATTTCCCCACTATATAGCGCCCTACTAGCATTTTAGGCCGAGCACCCAATCATCGTGCCAACTGCCTTTAATCCGCGTCCTTGCTCTGTAGATGGAGATAACCAAACCAGACCCTTCCTGGGCGACTAGAGGGAATTACACCAGTTGCGTCCTTGTCTGGCTATAGTAACAAACTCAAGCCTTAAAAATGAATGATGGGAATGGGTTGCTAGACAATGACGCAAGTAGTGTGACTGCGTCTAGCTACCCAGAATAGGGTCTGGTTTGCTCATCTTTCGTGAATGGTTTTTTTTTCAGGTAAAGTGGGAGTGACCATAAAGTCTCGTCGCATACTTGATGCCTTCGACGAGGGCATGAGAACATGGCTTCCTCTTCCAGTGGCATGTTTCAAAGCGTGTGCTCGAGCACCATCTGCGCGAGCTGCCTTCCGAAATAACCATCGGTGGGGTCATTCGTGTTTTTCGTTCGTTGTGTTTGACAATAGGGACGAGCTTTTTTGCAGGATGCAGTACCTTGGTCGGTAACAAGCAGAATCACCCACTTGCTCAAGCGATCAAGGACTGTTCTCCCACAGGTGTCGTACTTACACTCACTCTCATTTTATCG